AAGTTTTCATCTGAGAGGCTCCTTCAAAAAGGCAAACATATTTTTTCCATTCAATGGCCCTCTCTGTTCTTAACTGCTGTGTATCTACCAAGATTACTGCAGCCAAGAGTCCCCCCTTTGCCTTTAATGTCTATATACACGTAATAATACATCAAGCTCCATTAGCTCTGTATTTTTGTGCTATCAGGAAGTTGCATGCCACAAGTGTACCCTGTTGATTTTATTTCATGATAGTGAGGATGCATCTAACACCAAGAGAACACAGAGCCAAACTCTACCCCTCATTTGGGAAACCACTCTTCCTAGAGCCAAATCCATAGACTTTTCTATCCAGATATCTGGAATGGAGTCCCCGAGTATAATATAAGAGCTGCTCAGGAGAGGAGGAGAATCTGGAGAAGAGCCCAGGGTGGGCCAGGGAGGGGCATGGTGTCTTGGTGGGGTTCCCTGAGGCACTTGCACATCTCCGCTGGAGTATCGACAGGTTCCCATGTCCACCACACCCCGAATTGTCTTATCTGTTTCTCCTCTCATAGACCCTACGCTGTAGATGACCTCTCCAGATATCCCAGGCAGCCTCTCCAGATATCCCAGGCAGAACCTTGGGCATCACCTTAAATGCCTCCTGCTCCGTCACTGTCTGAATTCAGGTAGTTAGCAAGCCCTCTCAGATTCTACTTTTCATGGAGGGTTTGTGTTCCACTCCTTGGTCTCCATTCTTATTTCACTTGTTTTGGTCCGATTTCACTTCCCTCCTCTATTACTGAAAAATTCTTGCACCTCTCCACTGGCCTCCAAATTCCCTGTTCTTTCTTCACTTTGACAAATCTTTCATACTGCTATGAGGGTTTCATTTCTAATATGCAAAGCTAGGCAGCTGGTTCTGTTGCAGAAATTCCATCAAAAATTTCAGGATAAAGACAAATCCTTTAAAAGGCCTAGGATCTGGCTCTTTCCTCTACAGATCTGTTTCCCATGTGCCTACAAAACTCTAAGGTTAAGCCCTCACCTCCCACGTTTTCACAGTGTTGTTCCCTCTCTACAGACTACCTTCCCTCCATTTATCCTGGTTGACCTGCAATCATGCTCTGAGGCTCAGATCTGGGCATCTCCTCCTCTAGAGACTTTCCTCCTGTTTTGAATTAAAGCCTGTCTTGGTGTCTGCCTTAAGTCATAGCACATCTCTAAGAACATATTCTCAAAGCAGAGTCCCATGAACCAGGTATCTGTTTGGTGTTCACGTGAAAATGAGTCTTCTGAGGCCAAAGGCCCTCCACATTTGTCTCCCCAGAGCTCAGTAGGTGCTCAGAAAAGTCCAATGGCTTAAGTGAGGACAAAAGTGAACCTGTGCTGCCTCCATATTTCAAAGCCACACAGAAAAGCTCTGGCCTTTTGATAAGTCTCTAGGCATTGGGTTTATCATCTCTGAGGGTATCATGCTAATATGAGGGACAGATTGGCTCCTTCCACCAGCAAGCTGCTCTCTAGGAGATTCTGGGACTGTTTCTCTCTCTCTTTCTCTCTCTCTCTCTCTTCTCTCTCTCTCTCCCTCCCTCCCTCCCACCCTGTCTCTCTCCCTCCCTCCCTTCTACCCTCCCTCCCTTTCTCTGTCCCCAACTTGAAGCCCGTGTATGAGACAGGATCCAAGAGAGCATATTCAATCCCTTTGCTATGTGAGAATGAAGGATATTATGACTGAGTCCCAACTCAGGCAGAATCAAGAGTCTCTCCCCTGGGATACATCACAGAGAAGCTTTTGAAAAGAGCACAGAGAACTGAATTGAGAAACCCTAACCAGTCTATTTAGTCCAAACATATATAAGTAGTAGCCTCCCTAAGGATTAGTAAGAGGGGAAAATTTCATATTTCAAGTCAGGCTGCTACTCAAGGTTTTGAGTGGAGTGCTCAATCCCAGCATTTTCTTTAGCTCGAGATAGTGGCCTGAGCCCTCTCCACATCAATCTGGACAATTTAAACCATCAGGACAGGAATTTACTAGAAGAGAAGCAGGGCAATGCAGGAAGAGGAGGAAGTTAATCCTCTGAGAATAGGGGTTGGTTTATTCCGCATGCTTGATCCAAGAGAGGATGGTGTCCAAAGTTGGCTAGTCTGTCCAGATGAGAAGCTAAGAAAGAACAAATCCAGAGTTTTAGCAAGATGTGCATAGCAGTTAGCCACACTAAGTCAAGTTAAATTCTGGTGGCTTGTTTTCCCAAGGTGTGAGGTGAGGGTGACATGTATGCCTTGGCATTTTGAGAATGCTTTTCAATTCTGCTCCAGTTCCCTGGTTCTCACAAACTGGACATTGACAAATTAGAGAAGCTGTAGTTAGATGATGCCCCCCTAAGTGGCCCTTGGCTCTTGATAAGGGGCCGAGGCTGAAGAAAGTCAGCGTGGGGGTTCATGGGAAAAGCTTCTTAAATGCAAACCACTTGGTTTCATAGTTTGCTGTTCAGAAAGTGTGAATTAATTTGGGAGTTTAAATGAGTATCTGCTCTCAGACATGGGGATCAAATGACAAACACTTGGGATGGGCAAAATAAGTGCTGCTTCTTGGAGAGGCTCTGGGGACCTTTGATCCATAGGTGTTCTCGGCAGCCATCTCACCACTGGGCAGGATAGGGAATATTTATGTTCAATAAACACTGTCCCCAGGACATTTCAGAATGTGAGTGTTTGGGGTGGTAGACATTTCTATTACCTGATATTGTCAACTGAACTGAAAATGTATTTTCCCTATAAACAGAATTCTTTATCATCTATAATGTTCTTTCCTTCAAAAAAATTTTTTTTTGCCATTTAACTTGCTAGTGACCTTATACTTTGATTTCCCAATACACTTCTGTAAGAGAGGGAAGCTCAATAGATCAAAGAATGTGAAGAAGTAAGGAAAGAGTGTTTTGTTCCAACCAGCCACCAAATAACCCCTTTTCTGTCTGATGCCTATGGCCTCCTAAAGAAAATCTTCAACATGATATTTTGTCTTTGTTGTTCTATGGCTGATTAGGCTCTGAGAAGACGGTTCTCACCAGTTCTAGGGAAAGGAACCAAGTTCCTCTACAGATATTTCTTGAGCTCTGGAAAAAGGCTTTTATACTAAAACAATGATGAGACATTTATTCAAACTTTCCTTCCATTCACATTTCTTTAAAAATATGTTATCTCTTTTCACTCCTTACCTCAGAATACCTGCATACAGTGAGCATAGCTTTACCTACTTTGGGAGGATGCGTAAAGTGCACAGAAACCTCCCAAGTAAAGGGAAAAATAGGAAAGAAAGAAAATAAAGTAAAAGGAAGGAAGGAAAGAAGCAAATGTCCCAACACAGTCAGTGGAGTCTGCATTCTTCTGGGCTGGTGGCCTTTCCACAGGGAAACACTCATCCAGTGCTTCTCCCAGTTACCAGTTAAGCCTCAATATGCTGTCCTGGAATCAGGCTGTCCACACACTGAACTTTACCTGCAAAGAAGCTACTCAAAAGTGGTTTCTCAGGCATTTTGATGTTCAGTGACAGAGCTGTTAAGTCAAAGTGACCAAGAGCCCTGATGACCCTCACCTGCTACCTTGTCACCTGGGCTTGTCCATTTGAACATATCACTAAGTAACATCACCTGGGAATGGGTTTTGCCAGTTCTCCAACATTATGATGTGGTCCTGCCCCATGTGTGCCAAAATGACCCATTGCGTTAGCTGCCTGTTAGACATCTTTAAAAACACATCTGTATCCCTAGGGGAAAACTTTAAGATGCATCTCAATCCCAGGGGCACTAAGCACACGACCATTATGGGAAGGTGAGGGGGGCACAGTCCTAATGGAGGCTCCTGAGAGGAAGACTGAAGGTCAGCTTCAGCCCCTAAGTTGATGGGCTCCATTTTTCAGCCTCACTTTCTCTTATAGCTGGCACCGGGCAGATTTGGGAGTACTCTCTGTGACAGGGTCCCCTGTGGGGAGGGGATGAGGTCAAGAGCTTCTTTTACAAAGGAAGGATTAGAAACAGCAAACCTCAGGACTGTGTATTAACAGCGGTGCAGAGGGTGCTCTCAGCCTGCCCTCGGCATTGTTCCAGAACCCTGCCTGGTTATTGTCTCACCATCTAACATTGTTATCAGCATGTCTCCGATGAGTGTCTTTCCCTAAGGACTTCTAGCCTTCCAACAACTGGAGTCTAAAAATACAGAATGCATGCGTCCTCTGTGAACCCATCATTGGTAATTTGGAAATCTCTGTCTCCTGAGGAGGATCTGCAGGAGAGGGTACATTGACAGGCAACGTAGGGACATTTATTTAGGCTGCACAATAGGCCTTTATCACCCATATGCAAATCTATTATCAGGCTTAAAACATTGATGTTTCCATGTCCTTTGAACAGATGCAGAGAAAAGGGTTTAAAGGTTTCTTTGGCTATAAAAGAAAAGGGGAAAACAAAAGGAAGCACAGCTACACGTCTGCATTAAGAGAGACGTAGAAGTAAAAAATAAAAGGTTGGTAGTTTGTTTTTCTGAACTCGCGACAGGTCCCTGGCCACAGTGAGGCAGAGGGTGGAGCAGCTTGGCATCTTTTCAGATGACCCTGTCCAGGCTAACAGGAATCCTCATTGTCTGAGGGTCAGTATCCTGGAAACAACAGGGGATGCTGACCTTGCTTGCTTTGGTTGCTGGGTTGACATGGGTGATCACTGATCATTGATCACTGGGCAAGGATCAGAAACATCAAACCCGAGGACTATGTATTAACACAAGCATTGAGGGTGCTTTCGGGGTCTGTTCTTGGCACTGTCCCAGAATCCTGCCTGGCTTTGTCTCACCATCTAACATTGTTATCATCTGGAAGGAGGCTCTGAAGCCTTCCCTCCAGGGCCAGCCCTGGAGTTCTGGAAGGGATGGCTTGAATACACAAGCCTGGGACAAGGGGCTGGGCACCCTCTCTCTTGCTGACTACCTCTCTTTACCCCTGGACTCCCTCAAGGGAGGGACTCTCGGTTCCTCGTGTAGTCACTCACCTTTCATACCACTACCTTCTTCTTGGAATGTGTTACGAGCAGTGGTCTGATCTTCTAAGTGTTCACTCCCACCACTTCCTGAAGAGGCTACACTGCTTTGTGGAGACAGGGGGGCATGATCGGATGGGAGGCACTGGGGTCCTCTAGCTCGTAAGTCCTCATGAGACATCCATCCATGTCCTAGAGGCTGGTTTGGCACATTCATGGGTGGGGTAAGGGACACAGATCGTTTCAAAGGGCTGTGGTGTGCCTGGCCTGAGAGAACTGGAAAAAAAAATAAAATGAAATAGGTTATTCCCTCCCCTTTATTTAGCCTGGGATGCAGAATAACTCATAATACCTTTGCACCATCAGAGATACCGTGACTAACTGTCTTACACTCCAGCAGTGGGCACAGCAGGTCGAATGAGGGCTGCCAGGGCCCTTTCCTCTGCCTGGACTTCCTTGTGGGTTGGGTTGCTCCCAGCAGCCCAAACCTATGATGCTCATATACTTGGTCTTAGCGTTTGTGAGTTTGAATCTGCTTTTATTCCTAACTCTACAGATCAGAATTTGGAGCAGTGGGCCTATCTGCTGGGCAAGGCTGACAGCCTGGCAAAATGGCTCTCTGCCCTGAGTGAAGACAGCCTGTGCTGGGCAATATTTTTTAAGCACCAGAAATGACATTACCCATGTTGGTATGTAGGACTTGAAGGACAGGCAGGCACTATTTGGGCTCTTTGCAGTGTTGACCAGGAAGAAGGTAAACTATCTTTCTAATCAGGAGTCTGGGAACTTTCACCTCTGAATGGTGGTGGGGCAGAGGGAGGGGCCCTAGCACTGACTTGACCTTACAGTATGGGACGTTGGCGGCTGTGGTGAAAGGACTAATTCTTTCCCTCATCCTCACCAGCTCATACCAAACTTTATCCAGCAAATGCCTCCAGGTAACAAGGTTTTCATTTAGAAGCCAGTGGGGAGCTCTCAGTGAGTATGCTCAGCCCTTCCACACAGTGGGCAACATCTGCAAAGCACCCCCTTTTTTATTTTCCAGAAAACTAGGAAAAAGCAACAAAATGCACAGAACTGGCCAAATTAAATTGAAGGCATTCAAAAGAGGGACTTAACCACCATCAATGCCAAGGGAGCTGAGGTTATCCTTGGTTGGTTTTGCTGGGTGTGTAAAGTGACAACTTTACAAAGTAAGTCTATTCATAACATTTCCCTCAGCACCAGTTCCTGACAGGGCCAGTTTATTTTGACTGCCGCTGTACTAATGTGGAACTGAGCCACATGCATTTTTAAACATTTTTCAGGGAAGTCATTACATTCCGTCTCCAGCTCTGTCCCCTCCAGTGTGGCATTTGCTCTCCCCAAGTTGGGCCATGTACTTCTTTGTTGGCATAAACTTTCTGTAGTCTTCAGTAGGTAGACCAGATGGCCCAAATGGTGAGATTTCTGATAGGGCTGCACCCACTTATAGACTAGAGAAGATGATTACTGTGAACCCAGCTACAAGATAAAGGCAAGAGCTAAAAGGTGGGGGTGTTTTCAAGGATTGTGTCTGAGGCAGTAATCACATGGTCTGATGGCAGCAAAACTCAGGACTTGTGGGATCAGTGTTTCCACCTGGCCTTGTATGAAAGGGGAAAACTAGGTCTAGAAACTTAAAAAAAAAAATCACTATTTTTATTTTATGTGCATGAGTGTATTGCCTGCATGTGTGTAGGTGCACCTGTGTCATGCCATGCCTGAGGAGGTCAGAAGATGGTGTCTTATCCCCTGGAGCTGGAGTTATAGCTGGTTGTTAGCTGCCGTGTGGGTGCTGGGATTTGAACCCAGGTCTTCTGCAAAACAGTCAGTGCTCTTAATCACTGAGCCATCTCTCTAGCCTGGGTCTAGAAGCCTTTTTATTAACAAAAAAGAGAGGAGAAAAGGGAACTTCCAGGTTTAGTCTTTGTAATCTTCTTGGAAATTTCTAGTGTCAGTAGATTCTATTGAAGGCAAGGAATTTCACCTAGATTTTCAAAGGGGACTTTTAAAATGACTCTACCAGGCTGAAACATTTTCACTAAGAAGACTACAGGACAAACTGTTTGAAAAGGCTCCCTAGAAAATGCATTGCTACCTTGTTGGAGTAGAGTTAGAAAACAAGGACACACACACAAACAAATAAATAAAAAGGAAAGAGCAGCAAAAAGAAAGAAGCTAATAGAAAGAAAGTCAGACATCCAGAAAATCCATTTCATGCCTGTCTAAGTATTTATATAAAATTGGGCAGACTTGTTTTGAGCTGCCCTGTGGGCTGGGACCTCTAGTTCAGACAGCTTTGCTTTCTGATACCTCTGCAGCCACTCCAGAATATCTGTGAATGGCACCAGCCAGGTACACCACATTTCCACTTGGGGTGTCCTCTGCACAGCTGAGATTGACTTGCCAAAAAGGGACCAAGGGGAGTGGGCGAGACCCTTGGCGTCTAGGATGCTTAGAGGCAATAGAAGAATTAATAACTCATTGATAGCCATATCCTAGGGTTACTGCTAATGTGGTTCTTATTTTTTAAAAACATTTATTGTATGTGTACATTTGTATGCATACATGTGTCAGAGCATGTGTATAAAGGTCAGAGGACAGCTTGTGGGAGTCAGTTTTCTCCTACCTTGTGGGTTTCCAGGGATTGAATTCAAGTTGCCAGGCTTGGCAGCAAGCCCCTTTAACCACAGAGTCATCTCGTGGGCCCCTCATTTTTATTTGGATGCTGAGAATAACACAGTACGCATGTAGCAACTAAATTCCAGTATGGATGAAACCAATTTGCTTCTCCCACTTAAAATTTTCTCAAAATCCATGCTGCCCCTTACCCCAAACTGAATGGCATGCATAGGGAAGATGCCAGGGTCCCAGGATTCCACTGCTGATTGGGATTAGAGGGAGATGTCTGCCCTTCAGTGAATGGCCTTACAGGGATTTGCACAGAGGCCTACACAACTGTTTCTGTTTTCTTGGGCTTAAGTGAAATCATAGGGGTCAGAGCATGAACTTGGCCTCCGTGTCTGTCTAATAAATCACTTGTACCTAAGGTGCCAGGGCCTTTCCATCAAAGGCCCTGCCTCCTCTGTATCATAGAGGGAGTCCTCTGATGCCTACAGCTGCCCACACTCAGGAACATCTCTCTAGGAGTCAGCCTGCAGGAGCGGCCAAGTACAGAACCTTATAGGAAGCTTCTGATATGAAGAGAGGGTCAGGGTTCAGAGCTTGGCGAAGGTTACCCCTAAACTAAAGGATGGTTGTGCTAGGCAGATGCCTTATTCCTCTCAGAAGAATGGAGACCCATAGGTAGTTCAGGCCTGACTTCTTGTGAGGAGGAGATTGAAGCAGGTGACTTCGGGGTGATGCTAGACCAGCTGGTTTAGGCAATGGTAAGCACGAAGCCAATGTTTGGTGTCGACTCTTGTTTTGGAGTCATTTGGTCTAAAGTGGCAGAGGGAGTAATAAATGGTACAGGCAGCAGGAGTCTGTAAGAAAACAGGCTACACAGCTGTGGGATTAATGGCTGAGTATCAATGGTTGGTCCCATCACTTCTTTTTTTTTTTTTTTTTTTTTTTTAAAAATCTATAACTGAAAAAAAACGGGCTAACCCGCTGTGGGTGGGAGTGCGGAGTAGGAATGGTTGGGTCCTTCCCTTTCTTTTTTTTTTTTTTTTTTTTTTTTAAAGAACTCACCTGAAGTCACCACATAGGGAAAGAAGATATGGATATTCGGGCAAAGAAAAAATTGTGTTTTTGTTTGTTTTCCTATGAGTCAGGTGAGAAAAGCAGTAAACCAGACTTCTGAGAAGCTTCTCAGCCTCAGGGTAGCTGCCTCAGAATGACTCTGGTAGAGGTTCTTGAATGCATTTGCTGTGTGGTAGCCGATGGCTAATGACTCCTTCAGACCTGGGCCGCCCCAGAGTCATATTCAAATGCTGCAGAATGAAGTGTACCTTTGCAAAACCTCCACAGAGACCAGAAATTGGCAAGCTCTACCCAAATCGAGGTCCTAAATTTATACTGCATCTGTGACTTTTACAATAGAGCGGAACAGTATGGTTCAGGATGGACTCATATGAAAAATCATATTAAAAATCGCCCAGGGGAGAATTGTGGCTCTTTTGCTCCTGATCCACTAAAATTGAAGCTTAGCATTGTATACAGTGCAGACTCAACATTGCTTATAGTTTTAGAAATCTCTACAAGAAATTTTAGGTTTATAAACGTCTGTATAATATGTCATTAGGCTATGATAATTTGGGAAACATTTATAAATTCAAGTGACCAAAATGTAAACAATCAGTATTGAATAAGTATACATGAAAAATGCAAAAATCAGCTAGAAATAATCTTGGTACAGGAGCCCAGCAGTGTGACAGAAGTACTGAGGTTCTTCTGACCGGATGATAAACTCCGTTACACCTCTTGGGGCTGGCGAACTTCTCTGACTTTATCTCATCTTATGACTTCTTTTTCATCTCTCAACATCTCTAAAGTTATCCCTTTCAACACCCTTTAAAGGAAAAATATGACAGCTCGCTCTAGAATCTGTTCTCTTAAGGATTTTTTTAAAGCCTGGAATTCAGATTTCTTTTTCATTTCCTTTGACCAACTTTGCCTTTGCTTTGATTTTTAATTATTGAGATAAAACACAGGAAGAAAAAGTTCAGCATATGTAGGACTCTTTGGAGATTATTAAAGTAACTAACCAGCTTTTCTGCTTTCTGGTATGAGAACTAACAGGGTTTGTATGTGAGGGAAGGTTTAGGATACTGGATCTACTATCTCTCTGGTTCATCGTCAGGCTGAATATTATACTTCACTGACAGGGAGAGACTTGATCCACAGAGGCGAAGGGTATGTCTCTTACACCAAAACTTTGTCCCAATATTAATAGAGATCTTTCAAAGATCCATTGAATACTTCTCAGCTCTCTTTAACTTTATACATTGAACATGATCTGTGCTTTAAAAATCATTTTCTGAGCACAGATTCTGAACACTTTAGAGATAGAAGTCTTTGGAAAGACAACATAATTCAGGAATTTCTAAGCTGAGAGCCATGAATCCCTGAAAACTCCCATGTACATCAAGCCATTCATGGGTGAAATACTGTGCTATGAATTTTATGAGCATATAGATAATTTTGGAATTAATGCAAGATAAATGTACTATAAATGAAAAAAATCCATGCTGAGCACATAGCTATTTTTGTTTTGGCTTTGTTTGGGTCAGCAGATGTGTAGCACAATTATT